CGCAGCAGCCCGCCGAGGAGCCTGAGGCGAAGGAGGCGGGAAAGGAGGAGGAGGAGGAAGAGGAGGAGGCTGTCCCTGAGGAGAAGCCCCCGGAAGGCGAAGTTGGAGACCCCACTGAGGTCCAGGAGGGGAAGGGCGAGGCTCCCAAGAAAGGCGGAGGCGCAGAAGAGAGCAGAAAAACCACCTTCCAGGTGAGGTGACGGGGCCCGAATGCCCTTCTGGAGGTGGACGCGGTGGAAAAGGCACGACGGCAAGCAGAATATCTGGGAATAAATAAGGAAATGCCCGCTTGCTCTGGCACGCCCGGAGAATAAGATGCGGGTTTGGGTTGGCGGCTGTCTTTATTTTCCACTTAGTTTGGGGCGGGAGAGGGCTTGTGGCAGCCCTCTCCTCCTCGCCAAAGACGGCCAACTTTCCCGTCTCCTCCTGGCCGGTGTCTCGAGAAAGGGACTTTCCCCAGGTAGCTCCTAATGCAGTCAAGCCCTCACCTGTCCAGGTGATGACACAGACTGCAGTACGAAGCATGCAGCATAGCCATAGCTTTGAATCAGTTAGGTTGGTACTAATTCAAGTCCCATTGGTTGCAGCGGGTATAGTCTATCGAGCCTACTAAGTTTCTGCCCTCAAGCCAGAAACAACTTTGTTGTTGTTTAGTCTTTAAGTCGTGTCCGACTCTTCTTGACCCTGTGGACCAGAACATGGTCATAAACAACTTACAGAAACCCTAATAGGGGTTTCAGGGTAAGCAAAATATTTAAGAAGTGATTTTACAAGTTCCATTGAGTTTCCATAGCCAGCTAGGGATTCGAACCCTGGTCTCCAGTGTCCTGGGCCATCATTTTGTCCACTACACTACACAGATTTAGAAGGTGTCTTTGCTTTATTAAAAAAAAGATGTGAGACAGTTTTCTCAGTCCTGAGGAACATTAGTTTTGTCTTGCTCTCTATATTTTTTGTTCCTGTCACTGGGCAGCTTATTAACAATTACAGAGCCTGACTGCACAGTGAAGAAAATGTGAATAAACTTAATTTTCTCATTGTGAAGTTATACTTGGGCATCTTGTTCTTGTCAATGTTGGTGGCCACAGAGAGGGCAAAAATCTTTAAAATTGCAGTTCCATTTGAAGGGCCTGTAGGTGGAGCACTTAAAAGGAAGGCTTTTCTTCCTGAATCATTCATTTCCGCATTTTATATTGCCCACCAGGACAACTCCCTAAGCTGTAAAATAAATAAGTAAATAGGAGCAGTGTCTGATTAAAAAAAAGTCTTGGGAGAGAGTGCTGGTGCTATATGTACGTTTGTGTCATCTCTTTATCCTTGTGAGGCAAGGGAAAGGCACTTTGTCAAAGTACCTCTGTGTATGTGTGCTCATGCAAAGTCTTTCCTTCATCAATTCAAATCTCAAACTTAAACTATGGATTGAGCCTGTGGGACTCGGAGCTGGTTAGCATTTCCTGTTGTGTTATGTGAAATTGCAGTCCAAGAACACCTGGGTTACTCAGGGTTGGGAACTATTGATCTAGAGCATCTTGCATTTAGCACCTGATCATTCTGGAGCATGGGTCTACATTTTGATTCCGTTTCTCCCAGAGGCTACCTTCTCCTTGCTCCTGAATGCTACTTACAGAAACTGCTGAAATAATTAGCCATGTTTCTCTCAGTTTGAGTTAAAATTACTCCTCTATCAGATGCTCTTGTCTAAAGTGTTGTTTCCTGGGAGTTGTATCAAAGACATTTTCTGCATATTCCTCCAACTAGAATCACAATTCAATGTCATGATGAGCCATCTGAATTCAGGAGATGTCACCTTTGTTAGCCTAGTCCCATTTGTGGGCTGCCCTCATCTGTTTTCCCCTTCTATTTGGTAGGCGTGGCTTTGGAAGAGAATTCTACCCTGGCACCTTTTAGCAATTTCTGAATCACAAACTGTTTTGCTCTCTCCTTTGCTGCTTTCAGCAATCTGAATCTGGCCTTACAATAACAGTTTGGTTCTTAGAAATGTTTCAAATTTACAAGTGTTATTCTTTTCTCTTCTTCTGAAGGAACTATGTTTCATTAGCTAACTATGTGTGTTATTTTACGGCTTTTACCATAATGCATGATGTTCTCCAGTATAAGCATTCTGTGTATTTTTATTCTTATTTCAATAAAATTCCTCTTGATAACTAGGCATAGTTGCAAATTAATACGTCTCAATATATTGACATATGTTACAGCCAGAGTCCAAAAATTCCTTACATTTGTATTTAAAACATGTATGAATTCATGCATGTCTTCTAAGAGTGTATCTAGTAAGAATCCTTGCAGTCATAATTAAACATGAAACTTACCTTGTTCATTTATTAGAGCCACTTTCGGAGTTTATTTCCACTGTGACTCTCCACACAGCTTGATAAAATTAAACCAGATTGAGTAGGGAAGAGATGCACTGGTTGCCTAACACTCTACGTTGGATAGCTTAATGTTTTAGGCATCTGACCGGAAGAGCCAGAGTTTGGGAGTTCAATTCCCCACTGTGTCTCCTTGATGGGCTGGACTCAATGATTTGTAGGGTCCCTTCCAGCTCTGCAGTCCTAAGGTGATGATGATATTCTGCCTGTGTAAACTGAGTGGGACTGAATAAAATTGCAGTGTAGTAACAGAATTAGCCCCCTCCATATAAATATGCCCAAATCTTTACCAGGTTAATGACAATTATCATTTACCATTATGTTAATGAACTACTTTCTGTTACAGTTCCTAGAACAGAAATATGGCTATTTCCATTGCAATGACTGCAAGACAAGATGGGAAAGTGCTTACGTGTGGTGCATTTCTGGAACCAATAAGGTATATGGTGTAGACAGCTTCCTTCTAGGGAAGTAAATGTTAATATTCCTGTAGGGCTATTGTGTGATTGGGATGCAGATAGGAAACAGCTTGTTAAGAATAGAAATGCTTTAAAAACCCACCCAACCCCCCATTTTTGGCCAGTTTCCAAATCAGTGTCTTCAAGTGATCACATTTTGTTACTGCACCTGATATTTATTGTAGAACATGTTTTAGTAGATTAGGGTTTAGAGTTCATACTCTAATCAATGTCTTCGATCTTCAGGATGCCATGAGACTTTTTCACCAAATGGCATAATCACAGAAATGTGCATATGGGGGAGGGCACTGTTACTTGGCACAGAACCAGTTCTTCAAAACTATTGCACCCAAAAGTATTATGTTTTTTGTTGATAGCATACATACTGTTGATCTGGGGAGGGACTGTAAATTTGTTTTCTTCATTGATGGTTCCTGAGCTGCCAACGTTATAGCTTTTATTTAATGTTTTCAAACATCTAATGGAGCTGTGTGCCATGATTAAAAGATAAAATCACACTTAAAATGAGAGCAGAGCTTGGAAATAACTGATTTTAATGTTAAAATTGCTACTTTTAGGATGAACAATACAAATGTATTTGTTCTTTGCAAATAAACTGTTAGAGCTTATTGTAACTTTAAAATATTACACTTATGTGTTTCTTGGCTTGCTGTTCTGTTTAATGTGAAAGTAAGTAATGTAAGCATATACCATTTGTATTTTTTGGACTCAAGCTCCTTGAATTTTTAATGAAATCTCCAGGTAGAATTCTGGGAGTGCCAGTCCACAGACCCAGATTCTCCAATATTCTGCTCGCCTGGAACAGCCTTGTATGTGGCCTATTGCCTATCTTTAATGTGCAAAAATGGAAGTGCTGCCTTGCTGTCTGGGTGTTGGAGTTTTCAAAAGCTGCCCTCTATAGAGTGTAAAGGGCAGTGAGATTACAGCTCCCAAGGAAGTGGTAGCTTCTTCTCTCTCTCTTTCTCTCTCTTTTTTTTAACAGCAAGGTCCAAGACAGGCCGTGCTCTAGATGAGCAAAATATCGGTGCCTGAAGGTGTGGGTCTCTGGGCTGGTGCATCTAGGATTCTGCCTGGGACTTTATTAGAGAATTCCAAGAGTAGGAACCTACAATGGCACATCCCTGTTAGCATATTAAATTAACACATTATTTCCAAGCTTGGGGAATGAGTAGAAGATCTTGCAGAAATCATGTGACACATATTTTATAAGTCATAGATCAATATTGAAATTTTTGACAGTATGTAGTGTTGCTATAGGCTGAATCAGTGAACTCCTGAATTGTCCTTATGTGCTTCTATTTAGAATTCTTATTGGGCTTTATGGAGCTCTCTGATAAGTGACCAGACTAATTCATACATAGCTCAGATGTGAGAGGTTTCTCTCCTAATGATAAAACTCTTCATTTTCTTAGGTTTACTTTAAACAGCTCTGCCGCAAGTGCCAGAAGAGCTTTAACCCATATAAAGTGGAAGCAATTCAGTGTCATGTAAGTAATGTCACTAACACGTATTGATACAACCTAAATTCATTATTGAAGGAACAGGCAAAACAGGATGGTGCTCCTTGTTTCAATTTGCTGCTGTAGCATGATTTTGCTTGCTTTGTTGCTACTAAACCAAGGCTGTTTGAGGATAATTTTAGGAAATTTCAGGAGACTGGGTCTTCAGTGACTGTGTAATTAAGCCCTAATTTCACAAAACAAATTGACTTTCATAGTTTACACTCTAGGATTAAAGAAACACATGCAATCAATGTGGCTTAATAACTTAAGGATTTTTGTGACATTATTGCCAGTTGTGTTATCAGCATCTCATAAGAGTATCTAGTGATCTCATCCTGTATTACTTGAAGATGGGGGCATTTGTAGTGCTGGATTTCCCTGTCTCTAAAACATGGATGAAAAATCAAGTGAATTAGCCACAGGGTTGAGCCATATAGCAAAATATGGGAGGGGTTTGCCAGTTGCTGTGTCTTCAGACTGTTCTGCCAGTCATCCTATTGCAAAGGTTTTGGATTAAGCCATTTGTGGCTTTCCTTAAAAAGACAAGTAAAGGAGTAGAGTATAAAACTCTGTTGGGAGCCCAGAACCAGTCAAGATGGCCTGGTGGTGTATCCAACATTAAATAAGAATGCTGAATCTTTTTTTGGGGGGCATATGTGCCAAAGACTTGTTTGGGCTATTTTATATTTGTCACTCATGTGTAAAAAAGAGAGAGAAAAAGATTCATTCTAATTCAAGTCACAGTTAAATGGAAATTGACAGCTCGCTGCAAAACCCCTCTAGTGGAAAGGACTATAGAAATAAAATATACTCCAAGAAAATAACCACTTTTAGGAAGGCAGTTCTCTGTCAACTAACTGAAGTATGTTATCTCAAGATCTGTTCAAAGACTCGTTGCTCCTGTCCCCAGAAGAAAAGACACATCGATCTCAAGAGGCCCCACCGTCAAGAGCTGTGTGGCCGCTGCAAAGGCAAAAGGCTATCTTGTGACAATACTTACAGCTTCAAATACATTATTTGATTTGCCATGATTAATAAATGTGTGCTGTTCTTGCACTTGGCACTATGCACTTTGTTACTTGTTTGAGAGCATGGCATTGACTTTAGGCTTCTGACCTGGCATTGGATAATGGATCAAAGATTTTTTGTAAAACTATGAAATATTTGTACTTTACCAGTATACCTTATCATACCTTATAATAAAAGCTGAATTCTAACTGAATTGTGGTTAATGATATGAAATGTAACACAGTACATGATATAATGTTAAGGTAAAACAAAGAAAATGGGAAGCTTTGAAGGTTTTCTGTATAACAAATCTAAATGCCTGTCAGAACAGTCCCTCTCATTTGGGATACTATTGATTAAAATGAATCACTTAATGCATATTGGCTGTTTCAGAATGAGTGATGTAATGCAAAGCGGACTGGTTATCTGTTCCTTGTCACTGTGGCTTTCTAATGAAATCAATGACTTAAAAGTTTTTTTTCCAACAGTGAGAAAAATTAACTGTTCATAATATATTTCAACAGCAGAGATAACCAAATAATCGCAGTTAAATGCAAAAAAGAACTGCACTTGGGACCAAACACCTCAGGCTTTCTTGACTAGTCAATGTAGAAACATTTGTGTTTCTTTCAATAAAAGGAAATTTCCTTATTCTACTGTATTTTATTAAGAACAGTAGCTTGAATAACTGGCTATTGTAATAAACACAGGAAGCTGCCATCTTGTACTAGCACTGCTCAAATGAAAAGTGCCAGTAGCCAGTATTGGTAGCAACTAGTAAAAGGAAAATTAATTGTAGAGCCTTAGATGTCAGGTAGTACTAAGAAGTACAGCTGAAGGGACCACTGTAATTTTTGAATGAGGGTAAACTGACAAATTCGGCAGCATGTGAGACCTAAAACATGCTCATGTACGGAAGTATAAATTAGGCCAGTGTACAAGATACACATCAACTTCAGCTACACAGTCTCAAGTATTGCTTGTTTTTGCTGACGATCAAATTTGTAGTCTCCTGAAGCAAAGAACAGCCAACAAAGACACGTGCTGTCTATTCACCATACCCTGTGCCTGAAAAACAATTTTATGATGCTCTGAGGCGGGCCATACAGTTCTCCCAGCTTTAACAGGACTAACAGGCAGGCACCAAACATAGCATGTTCTTGTAAAGTTCCCCAAATCTATATAATTATAGCAAAAGACTATGAGTATAAAATATATTTTCCTGTTCCCCTGAAAATAAGCCCCTAGTATGATTTTTCAGGATGCTCATAATATAAGCCCTATTCCAAAAAATGAGCCCCAGCTCAGTGAAACCCTGCCCTCCTCCATTGTGCAGCAACCAGAAGATGATGACATGACTGCATTTGAATAAATGTAGATTGTTGTACATTGAAAAAAAATCCCCTGAAAATAAGCCTAAATGCATTTTTTGGAACAAAAGTTAATATAAGACCCCATCTTTTTTTCGGAGAAACACAGGTAGTTGTAACAATACATAGGAAACTATTTGAATGTTGTTTTTTAGGATAAAATGGTACTTTGATTCTTCTTTGATATAAAGTGGGCAGAAAGTGCCTGAACTCTAAACCAGGAATGGTCTTTTTATAATTTGCTAGAGACTGTTTGAGGGACCATAGCTGTACTTTATGATTTAACATTCTTCCATGCTAATAGACTATATAATGGCATGTATTTATAACGGAAACAACTTGATTTTTGAATGAGTTCATTTTGAGATGAGTTACCGGGAGTGAAATTGCTTTTTAAAAAACCTGTAATGGCCATGGCTCAAATTTATTTCCAGTGGAACCAATATGGTGGTGTGGCTTGAGTGCTGACACCGAAGAAGACTCACATATACTGCTACCTCCCACTGCTATACTTTGTGGAGGAAATGAAGATGGGAATTAAGAAGAGAAAAAAGGAAGGAGGCATTAAGAAGAGTGAGAGCAGACATCTGCAAGTATGTGTGCACAAGATGGGTGGAGGGAGACCAGGCAGGCAGATTCACACCTGTGAAACAGCAGATGTGCACGGAAGATGGCATGCATGGGGAAGAGCAAGAGACTGTGCAGGCAGGTGTGTGCACACATGAGAAGGTGGGAAGATATACAGGCAAAAGAGTGCACATGCCTATGTAAGAACAAGCATGCATGAGAAAGAGAAGGTGAGCACATCAGAGTGTGACAATAGTTTGTGGGTGGGTGCATGCAAGAGACAGAGCAATAAGAGCAGTCAGGCATTCACACAAGAGTGAACAATAACAGGCAGGCAACCATACGATCTGTGTCTTCAGGCGGCACTGCCCTGGAATGTTAATGCATGTATACACAAGTTGAATGAGTTGCTACATGTTAAGGCCAACATTTCGCACATGAAAGGTTAAGAGGGGGTTATTAGGGTTGAATTCAAGATTGGATGCATGGAATCAGTAAAGCTTCCAATAATGTATTGTTCTGCATTGGTCTCTCTAGTAAACTGTATAGTCTACCGCAAGTAGGAAGTGGTTTAGTAGTAATTAGGAGAATTCATAAGAAAGGGGCTCCCACACTGTGGTAGGTCAGAGTATATCATCTCTTGACCAAAGAAGCTTCATTCAGGAGGACCTCAAGTACTTCCTTTCAACTAACCCAGTACCCAATCCGACATATATGTAATTTTTATTTCCTGTCAGAAGAATGGAGTTTCATGCAAAGGCATTTTGCTACAAAAAGTTCACTTCTTCGACTAAATTAATATTCATATCTTCAGAATTCCAGCCCATCTACCACCTGATCAGTGTACTGGTCTACAGAGCCCATCTCAGCTTCAATTCTGGATGCAGTTCAAGGCATCTGGGAAGAACATGCGAAAGGAAGCTTTGATTTGTAATGTGTTTATCATAGTATTTTCAATGTCCAATAAACAGAATTGGCCACTTGAGGGAACCTGTAAGCAGTAAAACATAAGGTAACTATAATACATTAGTAATGAGCAAGTTACTTTTGCAGAAAGGCCAATAGTAGTGATCTGCTACTGATCCAAAGTAGTGAGTAATGGGAGGAGTTCCTTTTAAAAAGTAATGTTCTAAGCTGGCATAAAGGCTTAAGTTATGAAGCACATGTACTGTGTTATAATAGTGTACAAAGTACATTTAAATTTGGTATAAAATCAGGAAGAAGTGTAAATTAAAATTTTCGCAGCTAGCTTTTTCCATTTACAAAAGGAACTGGATACGTTGCCATCTACTTGTTTAAGCAATAAGAGCATACAATACCTGCTGTTAGAGGGGAAACCATCTGACTAGAGGTATCAGCGCAAGGAGACAACATTCATATTAATGTTGCATGTCTTTTAACAAACTGTCTACAAGTTAGATATTTGTCACTGTTAATACTGAATGAATTCATAGTGAGCATGTAAGCAGCACTGACTTGTTAAGTGCTGATTCAAAAGCAACTGAAAAAGCCCTCCATTGGCTGTGAATAACTTAGATCAAATTCATATCTAATCAATCAGTACATACACAGACAGATGTGTGTGTGTGTGTATTATAATGAACTTTATACTTTAGTTAGATGAACCTGTTCTGATTAAAATATCAACCAAAAAGTACTTCACAAAAACCTTTGTGTAATTTACAGAGTGAATAAGCGAAACAGACTATGCTCGAATAAAGGTGTTCTAAATGTGCAAAAGATTTACATGCACTCATTTAACACTTGACAGCAGTTAAGTGCAAAAAAAGGAAAAACTTACATATGTTACAAAGAAAACTCTTTAAGAAATGGAAAGTGAAATTGAATTGTACTTAATGTTTTCACTGTTAAAATCTGAATGCATGTTTAAATTAAAAAATACATGCGAGGCAGCTCAAAAGAATTTAAGTCAGCCATGTAACGTTTTCCTACAAAATGGTAAATTATGCCAGACCAGCCATCCTTAAGTAATATAAATATATTCATAAAAGCAAACCTCTAGTAAAAAGCAGCCAAAATCTTTTTTTAAAAAAATCTTTCTTGTCCATTCATAGGTACTTTGGTCTTAATAACAGACCTTTTGCAACAGGATCTAGTACCTTCCGAGACAGTAGCCTAGCAACATCAGGAAAAATACTTCATAGCAGCTTGATCCCCCCCCTCCCCAAAGATACAGTAATCATACTTAAATTACAGTGTACATTTAAACCTTAGTCCTTTACAACCTCTTTCATATGCACAGGCCCTCAGCTTTCAAACTGACAAGTCTTTTCAGTGTCCTGTCACTAGCTTCATTTTGCCTATTTTACTTGGTCAAAGGAAAAAAAATGTACAAGATTAAACAAAAATCCTCAACTGAAGGAAAGATTGCACTTTTGCCAGCTAAAATTAATTTCCTAGAAAGGACGTCTTGTTCGGTGTAGTAGTCTTTGGTATGTATGGAAGTTACTTCTTCAGTAGTGAATTGCAGTTGCCCAGTGAAATGCATTTTGTGTGTGCAGCTAGAAAGAAAGGATTCTAGGCTACCTTTGTCCTTACAGTATTGCTACACATTGAAAACTCTGCCCAGCTCCGCTTGGAAGATGTGAAGGTAACAAGACTGACTACAACTTGACCAAGTTTTTCTAAGGCTGAGAAGGCGCCGAACCACCTCAGCCCAACATGGAAACAGTCCCAAGTTGAATGAGAAAGGGAGCACAGGACATTTGTCAGAGACTCGTGCCTGAAACACTGGAGTCTGGAAGAAAAGTATTGATGACACGGTAGCTTTGAGCCCTTCGGATCATATCCCGAATCTCGATGTTCAGCTCCATCAGCTTAGTACATATTTCTGTCAGGCTTTGATTAGATCCAACCAGTGCATAAGTGCCGGACTGACCCAGTGTTTGGTGTCGGAAGTAAATGTTCAGTAAGGTCTGCACCTCGTCATCGGAACTGCTTCCAAAAATATCATTGGGCCATAAATTCCTGCAATAAAACAAGAACGTCATCATTGTTGACATACGTTGTATAGGAAGAGGGGTTTTTTATGTATAATTAAATCTCCCTTCTCTCCCCGTCCTTTGCTGTACATGTGAACAAAAGTATACACATCACTGTTTAGATTTTACTTTGTTATACTAGTTTGTTAAAAATTCCACTAAAATGTACACACATGACTAAAATGAAAATTAAAAATAATCAGAGCTCACTGACAAAAATGTGCGGATGTTAGGACATATTAATTTTTGTTGTTGTTTAGTCATTAAGTCATGTTTGACACTTCCTGAACCCATAGACCAGAGCACGCCAGGCTCTCCTGTCTTCCACTGCCTCCCGGAGTTTGGTCAAATTCATGTTGGTAGCTTTGACAACACTGTCCAACCATCTCGTCCGCTGTCATCCCTTTCTCCTCTTGCCTTCACTTTCCCAACATCAGGGTC